TAGTCTTTGCAACTTCAGGGATCTTATCTATTCACGAACAGCTTGTAACACTCCAAAGAGAAAGGAAAACTTGAAATCGCATCATATGACCCCTTTAAAGATACAGTTCTGAAGCAAAACAATGTATAATGACGACTATATGTGTACTGAGCATTTTCCAATATTTCTAATGACCACCAAAGCAAACCTCACCAGTCCTGGCTGTTGATGGCATCACCGTATCCAGGCGTGTCGACCACAGTGAGACGCAGCTTCACTCCACGCTCCTCAATCTCCACAGTTGAGGCCTCGATCTGAACCGTGCGCTCAATCTTCTCTGTATGACAAGAGCACATGTAAAAGATACATCAGAGGAGGCTCAAAAAACAAGGCCGAGATCCTTCCTTCTGTGCAAAACTGCCTCATAAACATCAGGCCACGGATGTTCACCAGGCCATATTTTACACTTTCTGATCAGAATATGCTTAGATATCTGAACACAGGGTATATACAGGAATCATGGAGTTAAATTTAATACCTTTTAAGACCTTTTTTAAGACTCTTTCCATACATTTTAAGACCTCATCACCACTCCAAGTTTTAACCGGTTACATCGGCGACACTTTAACTTACATTTACTATATATTGATTGTAAGATAGCACAACTAAACAGACTTACTTTGAGTTCACACAGTATATTCAAAAGACGTATTTGTAACATCAACTCTTATAACTGTCTGCAAACCATAGCTCTTTTGTGGAACACTTCTCATGACAAACATCTGACTGATCAGACAGTTTACCTGTGATTACGGAGTGCTTGATTTGATGCAGACTTGACAGAGTGTCAGTACTGCACCTGATCAAGTCTGAATGATCATGGAAGGTAAAATAATGATCACAACTATTACATAATTTTAATTAAGCATCCCAAGCCCATGCCCGTAATTCTTCTCACACGGTACGAGCCGCGACCATGCGAGCATCTGCGATTTTCTCCCGAGAGAAAAAAAATTGCCTGCGAGCTCGTACGACAGCAAAAATCGCACCGTGTACGCCCGCCTGTACACACTGCGCGCGCGATCGCGAAATCGAAAGTGAAAGTGAACTAAGACCGCTGGCGCTCATTCAAAAGGGGTTTAAATACGCCACATATTGATAGCGGCGCCCTGATGCGCGAAAATAATATACAATATTAGAATGTTTGCGGGAGCGCACACAAAAATCGCAGGAGCGGATGGGAGCATGCGGTAATGGTCAGAAGTTCAGCGTGAGCGGGATCAACAAGCCCCGCGCTATCACGCAGCGGCGCAGTCAGTCAGTGAGCGCCGTAACAGATGAAGTCAAATCTTGCGGGATTCCATAAATAAACTACACAGAACCCCACTATTCTGTCAAATATACATAATGAAAAGATGATACTCAATTTAATACCTTGGAAAATGGCATTTAAGACTTTTTAATACTTATTAAGGGCCTTCATTTTCTCTAAATTGATTGATCAACTTTTAATACTTTTTAAGACCCCGCGGACACCCAGGAACATCTGATGTAACTTCCTCAGTTTTGAAACTCTCACCTGCAGCACCAGGAATGACCCTCTCTGGGTAGAGATCAGTGAGGAACAAACTGTTGATCAGCGTGGACTTCCCCAAACCGGACTCACCTGAAAACAGCAGAAGTGCTAATGAGGAAACACTAAATCATCAGATCAACTACAAAAACACTTTGACTGCATTTCCCTTTGCAAAGAATAAACAGCGTGATGTCAAAGCAAACATCATGGACATAAGCATTTTATGCAATTATCTGTTCCTCTAGTCAGTTATACGTCTCAGTCAAGCAGCCTTCCAGCAGTGAAAGGTTGGAGGTTCTGCATTCCTCTGTGATTTATTTTAAGACGATGGGATGACTGTACAACACACACACACACACACACAGGGCTGAGGGGAGAGTCCCAGCTGCCTTAAAAAAAAACTAGGATTCATCATCACTGTGGTTTAGCCAAATTTGTTCCCACAGTCCATTTCACTACGCAATAACCATTCAAACATGAAGTACTACGTTTTCTACTACTAAAATGTGTTTCCCCTCCAAATATGGATCATCCATGATGTTTCTAGAATGTGTCATTTCTCTATATGTTCCGCTGCAAATTTTACGCAAATACTGCAGAAAAAAAAGACAGACTTGAACAGTTTCTCTTTGTTATAAATTATAATATAAATTGCACTGGGAAAAATAATGGTGTATTGCTTATATATTCTTCAAAATATACATAGCAAGGGAACATTGGAAATTCACTAATAATCGCACAGATTGTTCATATTTATATGCACAGGAGAACTTAATTCAAAACATCTGCGTTTGTTCTTAAGCTGATTCTAATGTTAAAATTGCGATGAAACAAAAGTAGCGACAGATATTTTCTTCCGTATTGTGACATACATCTGAGAGTAACAGATTATTAAAAAAGAAAAAATGTCAGGGACTTGGTTCTACGCATCGGTTGTTAAATGGATTTTGAGATGTGGGTGATGTACACAAAAATGGAGGGAGATGAACGTGAGCTGGATTACTTGGTCACAATAAGATCAATTATACACATTTAGATAACGGGGAGTTTTCATTTAATGTCGACTTTAATGAGATTAGACAACTGTACATTTTTATGCAAAGGAAACCGGCAGCTTGAACTATAACACCGCTTTTCTTTTTTAATCTATGATAAAGTATACTTTATAAAATATACTTTAATATACTAAAAAATAAAAAAAATCTTATGTGATTTCAGTTGTTCCTACGTTTTCTCTAAATTTAGAATAAATTTTAGTACAAAAGTTATTAGAGAATCATGATTTGTTTGTGAAAGTTTTCATGCACAAATTTGTAGCGTGCACATGGTCAGTGAATGAGAGCCATTGTGTTTTGGTTGACATAATGGGAATAATTTGTAATCTTTAGCTGAGAGGGATGATTGATGGGAGAGAGAATTTAGATTATACAAACAACAGTGGAGTTGTTCAAGATTGTGATTAGTGTTTATTGGCGATATTTTAAAGTTTATGAGGCACATTCAAAACATCACATCAACATTACTTACCCACCACCATGAGAGTGAACTCAAAGCCCTTTTTTACTGATTTCCGATGTACCTGATTTGGCAAATTCGCAAATCCCACATACCCAGGAGTCTCTGGGTTTGTTAACTGCCCTTGCTGACAAAAAAGGGAACAGAACATGCACATTTAATAAGTCTTAATACACTGCTATCTGAAAAACTTGATTCTCTTAAAAGCAATTAAATACAGAGCTTAGAACATTTTCTGAACACGCCCAGTTTCCTTGCACATCAATCTCTACATGAAACTAAAACTGCGCAACATCCACCCATCTGCTCTCATTTCCTTACCTTCATTTTATCAGCTTGAGACATTTTGAGCTCGAACCAAACCTGCAAAAATATAAAGATTTTTTTTTTTTAAAACAGGCTTATTTTCAATATAGATGTAACCATCTAACATTAAAAAACAACTATAGGTGTTAACTTAAAAAAAAAAAAGTGATGATCTTGTTGATCAGTTGAACTTACATGCACGAGAAAGCTGTCGATAAAAAGCTTTCACAGTGCTACAGGAACAGGAAGTCGGTTCCTGTCTGCAAGCATCAGTCTCACCACAACCCTGCACCAGCCATTTTAAGTTCAGAGCCCTAAAATCTAGGCTATGTTTACTCATTTTAAATTCAAATAAAGCAGTTATTTAGATGCCCATTTATTTGTTGAATGCAGTTCAAATATTTATTTAATTAGAGCAGAGATTTTCTACCAGGGGCCTCGAGATGACTTTGAGAATTAAAATAAGAGAAAACAAACATTACAATAACCTAAAAATATATTTTACTCCTTCAATAACTTTACTCCTTCAGTTTTTTATCATGAACAAACATTTTTCTGGTTATGCCAAGGTGTAACATTGTTATTAGGCTGTAAAACACACACACACACACATACACACACACATATATATACACACACACACATATATACACACACACACACATATATATACACACACACATATACACACACACACACACACACACACAGGGAAAAAGTTATATATTCTTGTTTGAGACTCAAACATGACGAAATTCTAAATCAATAAATTTTAACAATCTGCAGTCGTACAGTATAAAAAATGAAATGGTTAATGCTGATATGAGTTTGCGATTTATTCGAACAGAACAACAATAGTAACGTTATTGTTTAATGTAGCTTTATAAGTTCCCCCAGTACGTAAACAGAACCCGACTTTGGCAAGGGAAAACACACATATTTGATTAAGATTATCGCGTGAAAAGTGAAAATCTGTAATGTAAATGTTGTTGCTGGTTGATGTAGGATTGTGGGGTTTGATTTCTCTTTAGTGACACACCTCTGTTAACGGAGCTCATTCAGAGGTTACGAGCGAGTGACACGCTAATCTTCAGAGAAGCAGAAGTCACGCATCAGATAAAACCTGACCTGTGATCTGACCACAGAAATGACTTGAGTAAATGGATTCAATCTACCTTTCAGTCGCAGAAAATCTTGAGTTCGCTAGCGCAGGAGGTTGAGGAGACGAACAGACCAAATTCCTGAGATTCCGGAACTCTCACTAAATGCCGACAGCAAAGCACAAGCGTGAAGTAAGAAACGTGAAAAAGTGTCGTTGTTTCAAAATAAAAGTCCCGTCGCAGCCTTCAGTAGCCCCTCACTCCAGGAGGCGTGGTTGGATCCACATCTAGGGGGTGGAGATTGGTAGGTTTAGGGGTGGAGATGGGTGGGTTTAGGGATCAGGGGGTGGAGACGGGTAGGTTTAGGTACATGTAAGGTGGGAGGAGTTGGATCTGGATCCAACCACGCCCCCTGGATCTTGTGTTCTGCAGTGAGGACCATCTCGTCGCAGTTCCATATTGAAGATAATTATAAATGTTGCTTACAGACTTAAAATTATGCACAAAACTGTACTTATCAAAACATAAAACTAAAATAGGATTATTATATTTTCTGGGTTTCTACTTGATTCCTTCTTCAGATTTCATTACATGGAGATAAAAATTGATAAATAATATGTGTAGTATTTTGTTTAATATTTTAAGATTTCAGCTCTAAATATTGCAACAGGTTCTGGCTGCAGACTTGCACTTGCACTGTCAGACTTGCACTTCCGCAAGTGACGTCACTTGCAGTCTTTATTTTTTATTTTGTTCTATTTATTGATTTTTTTTTTTTTAATCTCTCAACATTTTACAACAGTAGCCAGGTGGTGAAGACAAGAAAAAATAAACTAAATTACAATGTCACTTGCAATCGGCACTTGCATGCTCCGCTACCTGCGACGTCACTTGCAATCGACACAAATCGTGCGTGTTGCCAATGGAGACAAGACGCTGTGGTGGTGATTTAATGATTAAAACTAATTTAGTACTATAACGTACATGGTCCTGCAAGAAAAAGACAAGACCTGCAAATCCGTGGCCACAGAACAGCAGAATATGAACGCAATGCACAAAGTCTCTTGTTAAGCTTTTTCCTCCCGTAGAAAAACATAAACACTTAATATGGCTTAATGTATCAAGAGGCTATTAAAATATCAAATTCAATATACAGTTTATTAAAATAATGACTATGTATATAGTATTTTCCACCCAAGTGCAAGTCTGCAGCCAGACCCTTCTCAAATATTGTTCTAATTGCATAACAAATTTTAAAACAACTGGTTAAGCCACACTACATTTAATTCAGTAGATCCTCTAGATCAGGGGTGTCAAACTCAATTCCTGGAGGGCTGGAGCCCTGCACAGTTTAGATTCAACCCTAATTAAACACACCTGATCCAACTAATCAAGTCCTCTAGGCCAGTGGTTCTCAACCCTGGTCCTGGAGGCACCCCAACACTGCACGTTTTGCATGTCTCCTTAATCAAACACACCTGATTCAGGTCATCAGCTCATTAGTAGAGACTCCAAGACCTGAAACTGGCGTGTCAGAGAAAGGAGATATGCAAAATGTGCAGTGTTGGGGTGCCTCCAGGACCAGGGTTGGGAACCACTGCTCTAGGCTTTTTTGAAAACTGCATGGTAGGCGTGTTGGAGCAGGGTCGGAACAAAACTCTGCAGGGCTCCGTCCCTCCAGGAATTGAGTTTGACACCCCTGCTCTAGATGCAATATCGGATTTCAAGAGGACAAAAGCATTAAACGTTTGATCATCATGACGTGCAGTGTTGGGGTGCCTCCAGGACCAGGGTTGGGAACCGCTGCTCTAGGCTTTTTTGAAAACTACATGGTAGGCGTGTTGGAGCAGGGTCGGAACAAAACTCTGCAGGGCTCCGTCCCTCCAGGAACTGAGTTTGACACCCCTGCTCTAGATGCAATATCGGATTTCAAGAGGACAAAAGCATTAAACGTTTGATCATCATGACAGGACTCAACAACAGCATATAAAGAGCACATAATAACATTTAAGACATAATACAGCCAAATAAAATTTTGTGAGCATCCAATGTATCGTCAATGGTTTAAAGCACATGTATACTGTAGGCGCTATATTTAGAATCTTACAGATATCAAATTTTGGATTGGCAGTGACCTCTAGTGGTGATAAAAGGTAGAGAGTTAGTCATTATGAATTTCACAGAAAAACAAAGGTATTAAAAGTCACAGGAAGTCACTGAAAATACGTTAAAAACACTCTCGTTGCAGTTGTTTGGATTTTTATTTTTAAATGTCAATTTAATTTTATTAATGCATACTAATAATGCATGATGATAACTTTTTTCTTGTTATGAGTAAATGTAGGCTAATATTAACAGTTTTCTCAAACAACTGCCACCTGTACTTTAACGGTCTTATAGTTACAGACATTAGAATATGACAAATGCTAAAGATTATCAGACATTATTCTCTCTTTCTGTCTCACACGCACACAAAAATACCTTGTAAGACAGAAAATTGCATCCAAAAACTGTGTACATTTACTAAATATATATTTTTCTTAATAAAACAGGGTCATACATATCAACGCATGTAACATGATATACAGCAACAAAGATTCTTGTAGAGGTATTGAAAATAAATGAGACCTTCTGGATTAAATATTTAACTGTAATCACAAATGACACTGATATGTGACACCAAAAAAAACTGCATCTCTGCATTCTGAACTACATCACCCATCAACTCACACTGAGTTAGTATTGCAATGCTTACAGGGCATCTTTCACGTAAAAGCTCCGTTTAATTTGCTGTGGTACATGTGAAGTCTTTAGCCTGCATTTAGTGCTTTTCGCAGAAATGCCTTATTGCAAATGTCTCTAACTGACTGCTGACTGCTGTGATTTGGGGCTTTATCTCCAGTATTAATTTCACAGGGGTGACAGAGTGGCTATAGATCATGGCACCTCTCAGGATTTGTGCTGTCTCCTTCATTCCTCCAACACATTTTTACCACCAGTATTTCCATGAGAGGCTATTAAAGCAAAGCTTGACTTCTCAAATATGATTAAAATAAGCACAAGCTTTATCCCCCAGAGCAGAGGAAATCTGGAGGATTGCTCTGGAAGAGGTTTTCAAAATGCACCGCTTGAAGGTATCACTAGCTCTTTACTACACCAAAGAAGGTTCGAGAGTAATCAGAGTTTTATTTCATGCTTAAATGTCTGTTAACAGATTCATGCAACATTCAGAAAACATAGTGTAGAAATTGCTCGAAAGAATTTTGAGTGGTCAAAGGATTTTTGGGGCATATCGTGTGCATGTATGTATTTATGTACAGGTATATGTGTGTGCATTTATTTTTTTGCATGTAAATGTTTATATTCACAAAAATGCAAGCTTTACCATTTACATATTCATATTTTTCTCACATTTGAGTACAGTTTATTACAGTGTATTTTGTTACTTTCCATTTTTTAATCTATTAGGCTATATACATTTTATTAATTATTATTTTAATTATTATTAATTTATTATTATTATTATAGATAATGTAATAATGTAGATATGTGTCAATCCTCCTGAGTGGTGGGGATTTAATTGAATTTAATTTTTTCCTTTCGACCCTCATTTAGATAAATGCAGAGAAAAGAATGCATAAAAAGATGAAAGTGCAGACAATGTTTTTTTCACTGGGTACTGCTGTCTGTTTATATTTGTCTGTATAATAAAACTATCTCTTCCTTTCATAAGCATCTTTCCATCTCCTGGACACTCTCCTTTTGTACCTGACAATGTCTTTTCCTCAAGCACTGCATGTTCCATCTATTCCTTATACATTTGAAAAGATACTCTGACATGATATATAAAAGAAATGATATTTTGGGTCCTGGGGTACAGTATCACTTTTGCTTGAAGGAAAAACAGATTATGCTGGTCAATTTGTGCTGTTGGCAACTATAGTCTTGCTAATCACTCTCCACTGGGAACATATTACCATGCGCACTTAATTTCTCTTTCTGAGAGTGTAGAATGCATCCAAATACACTGAACAAAATGATAAACGCAACACTTTTGTTTTTGCCCCCACAGCTGTTTAGATAAAAGGAAAAAAACCTTAAAAATGTTACAGCTAGTAGCAAATAATTGTGTGACAAATTTAGCACCATAATTAACTGTGAAAGCAAACAGGAAATATTACATTTTTTTAAATGTTTTTGAAAAAAGTCTCTTATATGCCAAGGCTATATTTATTTGATGAAAAATACATTAAAAACAGTAATATTGCAAAATATTATTACAATTTAAAGTAACTGTTTTCCTTAATGTAATTTATTATTGTGATGGCAAAGCTGAATTTTTAGCTTCATTTTCAACATCAGCATCTTCAGTGTCACATGATCCTTCACAAATCACCCTATGCTGATTTGCTGCTCAAGAAACATTTCTTGTCATTATCAATATTGAAAACAGAAGCATCCGGTTTAGTAGGTGCAAACTGCTTAATGTTTTTGTGGAAACCGTGATAATTTTTCCAGGCTTCTTTGATGAATAGAAAGTTTGACAGAAAACCTTTTATTTCTTTTGTAACATTATAAATGTTGCAAATGCTTCAGTATCCTTCTGGGCGTAAATGGGTATTTTGACATGAAATACTTGACATTTTATCATTATTATGAATTTAAGTGAAATGTTTGTACTTTCATTCTTAAAAATTCATTCACTCTGCAGGGGCATGTGAAATTCACTGACCAAGGCAAGAAGGTGATTAAAAGAAAAAAGGTTGTAAAGGAAATGGTTGTGGCACATTTCCCCTTATGCATTCATATAACTTTTAAATTGTTGATTAAAAATAAAACTTATGGACATGTTATGCCTACGACAGCTTTTGTTGTAAATAATCTGTCAGCACCAAGGACAGCTAGTGTTGTCGAGTCCTCGCTCTGTAATATCAAGGCTATGTGTGTGTGTGTGTGTGTGTGTGTGTGTGTGTGTGTTTTGAGAGAGCGGCTTACCTAAATTTGTATAGGCAGCTTTAAAGTCATTTTCATTTCATTGAGTCCCCTTTTTGCAGAAATCACTGTTTTCTGGTGTCATTGTAACTGTATTATGTCGCTCAAGCGCTGATTGGGCGCGAGGGGTTATGATGTGTCCTCGCTGCAAAGCTTTCTTTGAAACTCTCAGAGATTTGAAACAAACATCTCACAAAACCAAGCAGTCGTTCTCACACACTTCAGTTTCAGTGGCAAAAAAAAAAAAAAAAATCCTGCCTTTTAAACACCGCTGCACATCTCACCTCCCCTCATCAGAGGAGGAACCCTCTCTTTCCACAGATGATTTTAATATACTTTCAGGTGTTATAGCAACTTTTTTTATTATTATTATTCCGTGACGCAAAGCAGCAAATGAACTCGAGGAACATGGTGAAGCAGCCCATGGTGCACATCAAGAGACCAATGAACGCGTTCATGGTCTGGTCGCGAGGTCAGAGAAGACAGATGGCACTGGAGAACCCAAAGATGCACAACTCTGAGATCAGCAAGAGACTCGGCGCCGAGTGGAAGCTGCTCTCTGAGACTGAAAAAAGACCTTACATCGACGAGGCTAAAAGACTACGCGCCCAACACATGAGAGAGCATCCAGACTACAAATACCGACCAAGACGCAAACCTAAAGGACTGTTGAGGAAGGACACGCTGTTGTCTTTACCGCATCACGGCGAGCGAGAATTTCAAGCTGTCTCAAATCTGGACAAACCACGACCCCTTCATTCAGCTGCGTCCATGCAACATCCTATCATGGAGCCGAGCCTGTCAACTGCTTTTCGACATGAAAAACTTGCTTTAACCCCGGGCTCGTTGGCTTTTTCTCCAGCTTTTAGCTATCAGAGTGGACACAGGTCCTTCGGGAGTCTGGGATGCTCCGGTCAGTACGCGCACACTCACCTGTCTCCAAACCCCGGATACCTGCTGCCCCGTAACTGTTCGCCCTGGCCTTCTTCCAGTCTAACACCTCCAGTTGCCTATATAGTGTTTCCAGGTATGAGCAAGACTGCAAACAGCTCTACAGCGCTGTGACTCAGTCATTAAAATGTCATTAGTATCGTATGCGGGTTTTTTTTTTCAAGAGAGAAATCGATTGGTCTTTTCTCAGTTTAAGTTCAAGTGCAGCTTTTATAAATGTTGATTAAAATACATTTAACTATTTTTATTAGCCTAATAATAGTAATTTTATTTATTTATTTGTTTGTTTGGGATCTCACATTTGTTTTCACGTTCATTTATAAAGACCATTTGGTATTATTGTAATAATAAAAAATAATATAATTAATTACTTACTGTTCAGAGCCAAAGATGAATTTGACCACAATTAAATGCCAGACATGGAGTGATGATTTGAATAGTGTTTGTATATTGACATTTTATTTTTGCTTGAAAATGTGTATATAACTGAATGGAGCGATTAACTCATTAAAATACATTTTCTACATGCTGAATTGCCAAAAACAACAAAAATACAAATATATATTTAAATATAGCCTATAGGCTATATACACGATGTTACTACTTTAATATGACCTGCTGATTTGTTAAAAATGTCCAGTATCTGTATTTTTAGCAGTAACTACAGCATGCACATCTCAAATAAAACATTTGTTTATTCAAAATAAACTGTCAACTTACTTTATACATAATATTTTAATATTATACAACATAACAGAAGTCATTTTTACTTAAATTTAATTTGATAACTAAAAAGTCACAGTATTTGACCTTTGATTGATATTAGTCTTATGATTCATATATGAAACATCCTGTGACAGCATTCAAAAGCTGTGACTGAAATCCTTAAGGGGGAAAAAACATTGTATCATTAACTTTTTAATTGTGAACAAATTGTCAATTGTCTAGTAAATGTTTGTCTGTTCCGTTTTGTATAATAAAGGCAGATTTTGGCATTCCCTGGTTTCAACAAGTGCAGTTTATTTGCATTGCCTTTGTGCTTTTGCCACTGTTTTTTTTCTCCCTCCTATAGCCTAAAATATTTTTCACGTTATTTCATCTCCTTGTCATTTATCTGTCCTCTGCCTCTGTCCAATGTAATAAATAACAAATATAGAGACTGCCAGGGTTGCATATTTAGCCTAATTAAAGCTCTATGGGTTATTTTGGAAACAACCTCCTATTGTTTTTCCAGAATTCCATTTTTTTTCGTCTGTATTGATAATTTATGAATATGTGTCATTGTAATATGAGAATTAATAGAACGACAAAAGGTGGGACAGGTGGAAATCATTTGAGGCAGTACATTTGACAAATTTAAACCATTTCTACATAATTCATCTAACATACGTACAGGTGATATATATATATATATATATATAGTTCAAATAACGTAATTTCTCTCTAAAGAACTTTATATATAACATATCCAAATATCCTGGAACATATCCAAATGATGAACTATAATAAACAAGCTACAACTACATGATATCATGCACAATCATAAAGTTGTTCGTTGTTTTTTCATAATTTATTGGATGATGTACAGTCCTATACATCTTATCACATGCACCTTACCACACCACATGCAATTAAATGCTATAAAACATTTTTTAATCCTTGCCCATTCCACAATGTCTCACATTTTCTTGGCTGTCCTCACAAATGTCATTAATTACTCATTGTTATCAGACTCTCTCATCATCTGCTGATTCTTCATGCATCAGTAACGGTGAAGTATTAAGCAGAGGAACAATCAGAGGTGAAGAAAAGGCAAAGAAAAGACTTCATCTTGAACGAACAGTTTACTCACGAAGTCAAATTGATCTAATAATTAGGTGTGCATTGTAAGGCCTGTCTGAACTGTTCTTAGATATTACACATCAAGTGACCTCAGGGATAATTTGTGTTAGTGCTCAGACAGATGGTGCTTATGATGACTCTTTTTAGTACTCCTTTTATATTTCTGTTGAAAAGTAGGTGGAACTATGACAACTCAATGCTTATCACAAGCATCACTTTATGAGTGTGCATGTGAGCCTTCACACTTTAAAAAGCAGTCTCACCTGTCAAACCTCAGTAAAGCTCAACACTTGTCACCACCAACTTCACAAGATCCTAGACAAGAAACGAAGACAGAAGCAGAATGAGTGCCACAGCACTGCAGACCACAGGTTTTGTAGCAGGCGCCATCGGTACAGTTGGAGTTCTTGCTGCCACATTTATGGATGTTTGGTGCAATGAAGACCAGCAGGAGCACCAGGCAACTCCCATCCACCATTATAAGGGCCTGTGGAAGGACTGTAAGGTGTCCCAGTCTGGACTCACTGAGTGCCAACCTCTCTACAGCTACCTGAGCTACTCGAGTAGGTTGACATAATGAGATTTTCTGTGTACAAACCCAAAAAATGACATCCAAGTCTATTTCTGAACCTAACATTGAGACGGAAGCAGAGGTGGACTTACCCATTAGGCAAAGGTAGGTGACCACCTTGGGCCCCCAAAAGCCAAGGGCCCCCTAAAATGCTTTTCATATACGAGATGCGCATTAAGCGCTGACATGAGAATGGTTGCTTTTTACAGTGTTTATCACCACGACAACCGAGTTGAACACACTTCTCGTGTATCCTGCTTGTAGCAAATTAAATTATCATGTATCTGAAGCTGTAATTAAATATTGTGCAACAGTGCATATTATATGTTTATTGTTTTAAATGCCGCTTACTCATTTATGAGAAGGACCCAAGTAGAGGACGCATCTGCAGTTACTTGTTTGGTTGATATAATCCTTAGGTGTGTAAATGTATCATTTCCATTTCATTATTTTTTCATTTTCATTTAAATTTGTAGTTAAAATAACTACAATAAGTGTATTTTAAAGTTTAGAATTAGACAACCTTTGGCACACAGGCTTATGCTGGTAACTCATCGGTGGACTTTCCTCCTCAATATAGGCTATATTTTTCTCATTCTCACTAATTCAAGTTTTTATATGAATGAATCTCTGAATGGTACGGACTTTTATCTGATAAAGTAGCGGTTATGAGTGGAGCCCTGCTTTGTTTACAGCCGTTATCGGGGAAACCGCTGTATTTCTGATGTTCCAAAAGCACATCCTGCTGGCAGAGAATGAATGTGCATTTTCAATAATCCCATCTGCAGTTTTTGTTCAGACCAATGCGAAAATCCACCCCCATAACCCCGTTTTAAATTAATATCATAATTTATACTTCCACCTCATCCCTTTTCATCTCATCAAATTTTTAAATTTGTGCAAATATATAGGGCCTGATTCCTATATTTTGCCTGGGGCCCCCAAATCACTAAATCCGCCCCGGCTGGAAGTGTTGATATTTTTTTTCACTAAACATTTCTTGTTGTGTGGCTGTGCACTGTTTGGGAACTGCTAGTCTAACAGTGAAGGACAATAAGCAACGTTAAACGATTTTTAATATTTAGTTTTTTTTCCAAGTCTCTGAAGAGGTGTTGTCATCTGCTCAAATCCATACTTAAAGGGACAATTCACCCAAAAAAGAAAATTCTGTCATTATATACTCACCACCATTGTGTGGAACAACAACAAAATGTTAGTAACCAAACAGTTTCAATTCTCATTAACTTCCATTATATTTTTTGACCACATAATCAATGGAATCCAACACTTCAAAATATCTTCTTTGTGTTCCACAGAAGAAAGAAAATCATACAGGTTTGTAATGACATGAGAGTGAGTAAATGGCAGAATTTACATTTTTGGATGAACTATCACTATAACAATAAGTTTAGGATGAAATTAAACAAAAAGCATCAACTCAAAGACTTTAATGACCTTCTAATATTCTGTTTTTTTTCCCCTGTATTTTTTTCAGGAATCCTTCAGGCTATAAGAGCTCTGATGATAGTAGCAATTTTAGTAGGTGTGATTGCAGTATTCATTGGATTCTTCTGCCTAAAGTGCCTCAATATGAGATGTATGGATCTATTGACCAAGGCCAAACTGATGCTAAGCGCAGGGATTTTGTTTATCATTGCTGGTAATCAAAAGCTTATTATTACTCAGTATCTAAACTAAACCCCACTGATCTTTCAATTTGTTTCTATTATGTTTACAAACTGTTATTGTCACAATAATTCCCATTATAATACACATGGCCCACATAATCTTTGTTCTTTTCAGGCATTTTTGATATTTCTGGATCATCAGTGTATGCTGATCAAATAGTGGCCAGTTTCATGATGACCCAATACAATCAAAAGCAAGGAGAGAAGGAAGGAATACAATGTGGGAATGGCATGGGCATGGACACGGGAGGAATTAATTCATTTGCTTCCAGGTAAGATGACATTTTTTCACTCACATATGATTCACAGGTGTCTGTAAAGTGCTAAACGCATAACTTCCTGTTATCTCTATCTTTGTTTTGAATGGTCAGGTACACATTTGGTCCTGCCCTCTATGTAGCCTGGGTAGGTGGAGCTTTGTTAATTTTGGGAGGAATTTTGAAATGCATCGCATTCAAAACAATGGAAACGTAAGTTTCATTCCAACACAGATCTATCTATCTATCTATCTATCTATCTATCTATCTATCTAAATATTCTGTGACACATATTAGGTTAACGGGTTGTAAGCTAACTAGCATGTTCTATTTTAGCAACACTGATACAAGACAGGGATATATCTACAACGCCACAGCCTAGCGCAGTGGGGCAGATGAAGAGTGTCACCTTCAGAGGATGAGAGGAGAACAACAACAAATTTAATGAAAGAAATTTTTTTTTCTGAAAGAAATATTTTTTTTTTCTGTCAGTTATGTCAGATGTAATTCCTTGCACTGACGAACGGAAGTAATCTTTTTGGATGCTGAAGATATTTTGATAATTGCAGTTAAAATGTGTTAAGTGATTTGTTATGTCTCTATTGAAAAGTCTTTGATTGTATATGGGTAAATTGGGCAGATATGGTGTGTGACACAGGGAGTGTCACAGGTACTTAAGATTCAATAGCTAATCACTGTAAATAATTTGCTGTTTAAAATTCTTATAAACTTTTGCCAATTATACTTGACATGATGCAGCTGATTTGCTTGGTCGAGCACAAAACAATTTATTAAATTTACAGAGGATGGAGAAGAGAGGGGAAAAAGAGTCAAACTAATTGCTGATTTTCTAGGTTGATATATTTTTTAAGACAGAAATAAACATCTTAAAGTGTATTACAGCTATCTAGATAGGGACATATCATAGACTTACCCAGAAAAACACTGGTCTCATTGCAGATGTCCTTTATGTGATCCCTGTAATTATTAAACAATGTTAACACACAGTAAATCTGTAATATGATAATTACAGTTAATTATTTCTTAAAATACCTGCTAATAGGTGTGTTTTCCTTCAGAGCTGCCTCTGTCCCTGTGAAAAAAATCTAATCTTCTTTGGACTGAAGGTGTTTTGGCTTGACTCTGGTTTGAAAGGGCCTTCATACTAAATTCTGAGCACACTGCCTGCATGTGACACGATTAATAAAACTAGCAAATGGTGACTGAAACACAATCACTGTGGTCTTTTCTAATAATACAGGTGCATCTCAATAACATTTCCAGATACCAGGTTCTTTGTTCTGTTGTTTATTAGATAGTTTATTTATGCTGAAGCCAGTCACGAGACAACACTGACGTTCTGTTGCTTAAATGAGTCCAGATGCAAAGGGTCAGTTATTGCTGTCTTAGTGCTTGCCGACCCAGGAGGTGGTTTTGTAAATCACTCTCTCCTTGTGTTTCTTGTAAAGATAAGCTGAGCGGGACAGGAACTTATTTGAGACAATTGGCGCCTGGGCTGACCATGTTTTACGGCTCTCACATGGTTGATAGGAGACCTTAGTTTTTCCGGTGGAATGCAGAGATTCAATCATTCATTTGTGTCTGTTCACAGAGGCCCTACATCGCGATGTTCACCCGCGATTGGAGGATATGTAGGCCCTGTGATAGTGGTTACTGAAGGTGAAGATGTTTTAATATGTTCTTATATCAGTTCCTGTAATGTTTAGTTTACTCCAAAAATGCATGTGAGTGATCTAAAATGGGTAAAACATTCAGAGAATGTCACTTTTCCATGACATTCTGATTTATTGAGATGCACCTGTACATGCAAATTACTTGGTACCATATTCTTCTTGAACAATTTGAGGGAAATGTAAAAAAAAAAAAAGTAATTATGTGTGCTTACAGTTTGAGAGTTAACAGCCATTGGTTGGATCCTGGAAAAAAATAAAAATAAAAATATACATATATATATATATATATATATATATATATACATACAGTGCTGCTTGAAAGTTTGTGAACCCTTTAGAATTGTCTATATTTCTGCATAAATATAACCCAAAAAATCATCAGATTTTCATGAAAGTCCTGAAAGTTGACAAAGACAACACAATCAAACAAATGAGATTAAAATATATATTTTGTCATTTATTTATTCAGGTCTTATTCCTAGAAAATAAGACCCCAAATATAAAAAGCACACACATTTAGCACAAGAAATACACAACATTTTTATATAGGAGCTCCCTGACCTATCCTCTCAAGCTGTCTGGACTGGAGACGTAAGGTGAGTTCTCCCACAATTTGGCTCGAAAACATTTGGCAAGAATTAAAGAGTTGAGTTGAGCTGATAAATTCGATTTGGAGTGATGACTGAGAAACTCAGTTAGATCTGGCAGAGATCAAGAGCAGCATTTTGTTAAACCTATGCTAAGTAAAAATTTACACAAAAAAGTATTGCACATTTGCATTTTCATGGCCATGTCATCAGACAGAGAGAAAAAAAGCTTAAAGAGAGACATGTAAGTAACATACATCTGCTGATTCGGTTTCCATTTCTGAATATTTTCCCAGTGTCCTGTATGAGTCCAAACTCCTGAATGGGGATGCAGCTAAGCTGAGCTTGAATCAGACTAGGATGAGAAGACAACTGCATGCATAAATAAATAAACAAATATGCAAGCCATGCAATCAAACGGTAAAACTGTACATCCAAACCGTAATTGCAAAACCTTACCAATTCAATGTCATTACTTTTGATCTTTCCTTCCATAGGAAACCTAAAAAGAAAATATTACCGCTCACATGCTTTAGTCTACCTATTCAGTATGTTAGCTACACTGAAAAAAACACTTGGTGTAGAAACAATTTTCACTCAGAAATTGCTAATAAATTTCACAAACACTAATGAAGAAACAGCAAGTAACACTGAATTAAACATGAGAAAAACTGAAATTGTATTTTCTTGTAAAACATACTCTAGTGACCTTTGTTTTATTTACAACTTCAAAAAATATAATTTTACAGTGTATGGGTATTAGGTAGCTGAAGATGAAGTTGACCTGATGGTGGTTCTGTTCTTATCCTTGTTCAACATGTTCAAGGTTTTCTTTTCATTTACTCTCAACTGCACATCACTAAATTCTTGATTCTAGAAATTCTAGAAAGTGAGAAAAAATGTTTATATCATTATATTGTCAGGGAGAGTCCAGCCTTGTCAGGCCCAATCATCTCACACACCCGTTCACAATCACCGGAGTACTAATCAGCCGCACCTGTCACCACCTCATCAGCACTAGCTTAAATGCACAGTCACTGCAGTCACACTTCGTCTGGTCTTGAGTTCACTACGCTACTCCTTACCTGACTCACTGAACCCGGACTCCATCCTGATACCTTCCTGTCTCTGTGCCATCCTCTTCAGCTCGATCCACAAAGGAACCCGTCATCACGTGAGCCCGATTCCTTCCATTCCATAGACTGTTGCTCTAACCTGTTTGCTCTCCATCTCTCTCTCTCTCCCAGCACCTGTTCAATAAAGCCTCATCTCGCTGGCCGCGCTCTTCACTGGGCCCAGTCCATGTGGGAAAGTAACAGTCAGGCCCTTCGCACTCTATCTACGTTCACCACCCACTTCAAGGAGGTGTTTAGTCACACCGCCGCTGAGATATCTATGCATGACCAGCTCTTCCGTATCCGTCAAGACAAGGCCTCCGTGAGCGAGTATGCCATTAAATTCCACACTCTGGCAGTGGCGAGTGGATGGAACGAAGTGGCCTTACTGACTGCGTTCCGGCAAGGGCTGAACGCAGACATTCACCTTCAAATGATGATATTTGACGACACCGTGGGATTAGAGAGTTTCATTCAAAAGACTATCAAGATCTCCCAACATCTCCTGGCCTGTCCCCCGATCCGGCCCCCCGCCTCACCGAGCACATCCGCCTCACCGGCTCCAGCACCAGAACCCATGCAAGTGGATTCGTACCATCTCACCCATGCGGAGCGTTCGCGGAGGATAACCACCGGACTGTGTCTGTATTGTGGGGAGCAGGGACACTTGATTCGCTCGTGTCCTATCCGTCCCTCACGACCCTCGGTGAGTACTATCCAGCTCAGCCCTCAAATTGCTACCTTGACTAGAATGAATCAGAATCAGAATCAGAAAGAGCTTTATTGCCAGGTATGTTTGCACATACAAGGAATTTGTTATAGTGTCACAAGCTTCCAGTACACGGAGACAACAACAACACACAGAT